TATCATCAAAAAGCTGTCATCCCTCAAAAGCTGCATGTACATATTGAGATAATTACCAAGTCAAAAATTACTAAGTTGGTTCAGACAGTAATCAGGCCTTTGAAATTAATATATAGGTCACATATTCCAAATAATTTTCTACAAACTTCCTAAAGAAACAAAAAAAAATCTGTTAATCTAGTCTACCTTCAGAGCTGAAATTGATAATCTAAATAAGCACCACACTTCCTCCTGAGAATGTACATTAATGATTAAAATCCAAATCAGAATTGCTATCCCCTAAAATACTGCTCCAGATTTTGATTATGATTTGTATTCTAGAATGCATACATATATTCCATAAAGTGTTCATGGAAAATAGTCTATCCAAATGTACCCCCTAAACATTAAATTTACTCTTAATTGGAATTTGGATAATCCTAGTTCTCCTAAACACAGAGCAATAACAAAAAAAAAACAAAAAACAAAACAGAATAAAAGTATCAGAAAGAAAGCAGACTTATCGTTAAGGGAAGACAAAGTGAAAAGACTACTATTTTGAGAGAGGAGAACCCTGAAGTAGGATCAAATATTAAATATTATTTCCACACTTGTGACTTATGTGTTTCAGATTAGCTGACCCACACTAATAACAGTAAGAAAAAGAGTAGGAAGATAAATTCTTTCAGCAAAATATGAGAAGCCCTTTTAAAAATTATTACTAAAATATAAGGAGACTCAAAATTTCTGATTCATAACACATAAAGGAAAAATCCAATTAAAACAACAAAAGTAAGGAGAATGAGCTCACACTGGTACAATTTAATTCCTCAAAAATATAGGAATTAATGGAAGGTAGGAATACAAAATACAGTGCTGTGTTTTCAACACTTTATGGGAATTCTCAATTTACAGCAGGAAACACTGCGGTAATTGGCGTGACCAGGATATGGTTAACTCAGTACTTTGTATTCAATGATGTTTATAAGCAAGAACTTCTTCCACTTTGAAAACTATGCCTAAAAAGGAATTCTCTTTGAAGACGAAAGGAATTAAATTAAAGATAAAGCCACTTGGGTGGCCACATAATACATCAAACAGATCATACTTCAAGCAGAATTATTACTTTTCAGTTATAAGTGCATGACTCATAGGAATATAAATGAAGAGTCTTTCTGTGTGTGCACACCAATTTGGATCCAGAAATTCACACTGAGGAGTGCACTATCACATTTGCTCAGTCTGTATATTTTGGCTTCAATTTAATTTAACATGGTTAAACATTGATTAATGACCTACTACCAAATAAAAAACTTTTTTAATTATTAAAAATAACGTATTTGAGAATTCTTTGTCGTATAGTACTGGAAACAAAGGTTTAATGTTACAAATGAATGAATAAAAAGTTCATTACGATTTAAAAATAATAACAAAGCCTCCATATTATAAATGGATTAATTTTCACATCCATGTGGAAATGTTTCTAAGAACTTAAAAATAACATCAAGTATTAAAATTTTCCATTATGAACTGTCTTCAGATTTTTATCATAGCCTGTCTAGTGGCAACTATAATATTATCATTTTTATTAACATTTGCTGAGTGTTTATTTACCCCACATGATTAGGGAATAGACAGTTCAGTGAAAAATCCCTACAGAACATTTAAAAGAAAAAAAAAAGGTAGAAATCTCTTGGACATGATTTACTTTCCTTGCCTTTCCAAATCGAATATACTAAAAGTAATGTAAAATTGTATTTATGACTCAGGGTCATCATTATATACAATATTGCGTTACAGCACTGTAATACAGTAACGACTTTAAGGACAGAAACATAAGAAATGATACGCTTTAAAGTCAGTAAGTTAGTTGCTAATTGCCCATTAGGTGTCACTTCTGTTGCAAGCAGCCCCATTTTTTATATCTTGAAGATCCCAATCAGTGAACAACCTTAAACACTATTCTAAATCTGAAGGAAGCAGCTTTCTGTCTCCTTCAACTACCATCCAATACTGTATAGACAAATGTAAAAGGATAGGAAGAGATAACTGAATAAATACATGAAAAACATCATGAAAACAAGAATTACATATTACATATTAAGATTTATGTGGTAGATTACAGGGCAGTAAAGGATGCTATAGGCAATAATAGCTGGACTATTATCAAGAACAATCTGAATAATAAAGAAACTTTAGACACTAGGCATCTTTTTGTCAAACAGAGAAGGCTACAACTAGAATGATCAGAGTGAAATCTTTAAGTTAATTCCATAGAGACAGATGAATGAGTAAAGGAAATGAAATAGTCTTAAGTTATCATGATAAATGGCACCGAAATTGGATGATGTTCTTGGACAATGAAGCAATTGGACAATGGGAAATTGCCGGACCTTTTAGTAGACAATTATGATCAGTGAGGCTCCACCTGACAAGATAAGTATTCAAAGTAATGAATCAAACAATAAAAGTCTATTACTACTAACAATGGACTCATAAATTAAGACAAAAAGCAAAAGACACAATTTCCTGACCTTTCAGAGATAAAAAAGGTAAATATTAATAGCCAATTGGCAAGCATTTATTGACCACCCACTATGTGGTTTCCAGCATGTCAAATATGAAACATATTTCTTTCTTTCAAACATCTTACAATAAATTAGAAAAATAAAATAGATACATCACAAAGGTGAAAAAAATTTAAATGCAAATTGAAGTAAGGTTTTCATTTTAAAGCCTAATAATGGATGATGAACAAAGATGTAATGGGAGGCATGCTCAACACCACGAGATCAGTGAAAACTAATACACATTCTGCAAAGTAATGTGGTGACATTACAACAGCCTTAAAACAAACAAACAAACGACAAAAAGCAGACTCTAACCCAGTAATTCCTCTTCTACAAATCTAAGGGGGGAAAATTTCAAATTTTCACATAAAAGGGGATTTTCTGCAGTAAAATTTATACTAGCAAGACATTAGAAATATCCCAAACATCTTCCAATAGGAAAAACTTAAAATATGATAGTAACGTGATGAAATGTTAAGCAGCTATTGAAAATATTTTTTCAAAGAATATTTAATGATATGGAAATGTCTGAATTAAAGTTAAATGAAAACACCGTATGATCCAAGTTTTAGGAAAAATACACATACATGCATAGAGAAATATTTAGAAAGAAATACAAATTATTTTTATTTTTTATTTGCACTCTTCTCTATTTTCCAAATGATTTTATAATAAATAAGATTTAACGAAATATGCAATTATTATTTGAAAAAGGCACCTATCACGAAACAAAATAAAAATGTAAACGTAAAGTCAATGGGATAGAATATGCCTGGATTAAGAAGAGTTTCACATAAAAACTTACTCCAGAAAGGCTGGGAAAGAGAAGTCATGATAGATTAAACCGTGTAGATTAATCGTTAAAACCATGAGAAATGGTAGCAGACCTGGACACTAATTTGAGTAAGTAGGTAGAAACTGAGGGAGAATCAGGTAATAGTTACAATAGATTTTGAAGATAATCAAATATATCCTATTGTGATTCATTCGTTGTTTATATTGCTTCAACATGCTGGCTTTTAAAAAACTGACTTCTATTATGAAATCATGTTACTTGGCAATTTCTGTGTCTGTAGATTACGAATCACTTTAACTAACAGAAGGCATTTGATCTTCACAACAATCTCTTAAGGCAGGGACTATATTATGAAACTATTTACAAGAAGAAAGAGAAATTTGAGATGAGAGGTTGTGACTTGCCCAAGGAAACAGCTAGTAACTGGAAAGGCAGAGACATTCACTCACTGCTAAGCCTCTTTCTCAAGCCATCTGCATTCCAGAACACCGGGTTTTTCTCCAATATTGAGTTGTTTTTAGAACCACTTTTTCCTAGTCAAAAACACTGCCAGTTTTGTCTGCAGTACTCAGAAACATTTCACTTTGGTTTTGTTGCTAACAAATCTGCCCCATCTGGTCAGTATTTAAGAAACACTTCTACTGACCCAAACTCAACACGAAGTTACGCTAACTGGCTACGGAAAGGCGAAGGAAGCTAGCTACTCGATTAAATCTCGCCAATACATGACTGTACTTAAGTTTGGGAATCAAAAACGGAATGTGCTTCCCACAGCCTAAAAAAGAAAAAAAGAAAATCTCTCCATATTCCTGGATCAGAAGGGCAGAGCGCGCAGGGAACTAACCAAACGCTAATTCTCCCGGAGTAAGAAAACATTACAAGAACCTCAATCCAGTGCCTGCTGTCTTGGCTGCAAAGCCAGCCTCCTCCTTTCCTGTCGTTTCTGAAACGACCAGAACACCGCCTCGTATCTCTTGCTGCCAAACTCCAAACATTCTCAATTTTTCCAGCAAGACCGGTCCCTTCCTCAGCACACCCAGAAGTAACACAAATAGGAAACGCCATCCCTCAATTATCCCCTAGATTTCCCTCCATCCCAACGAATCCTAAACGCCAAATCAACGTTAGCCTGAAATAAAGTATGAAATAAATAAATAAAATAAGGGTCACATCTAATACAGGCAGTCCCGCCTCAGAGCGCCCCCAAACCAGCCGTCACCACACCCGCGTTGGGTGAGACGCAGCCGCTGAGGCCAGGGGCGGGTCCAGGAGACCACGTGTTCGCCTTCTGCGCACGCGCCAGCCAAAACAAAAGGGAGGCCTGCCAAGCCCCTCCTCCCACGTGACCTGCGTCTAGGTCCGCCCCCACTCCTCCCTCCACCCCTCCCTTCCCTCCCCTCAGCTCCATCCAAGGCTGTTAGGCTTAGCCGTTTAAATTTGGCTGCAGTCCGACCCCTGCCCTAGAGCGCGATCCTGTGCCGGGATCCAGAGTCCAGCAGCCCAGAGGATTCGGTGAGCGAGGGGGCTGCCGGTCGGTCACCTGGCCCGCAAGTCCACCCGGCGGTCTTCTCCGCTCTCCCCTCCCCGCGCTGCAGCCGTCCCCGACAGAGGAGACCCACCCCCCTCAGCCCGCCCTTTTGACGCCGGCCACTCGCCTGCTGGGGCGCCCTGGCTCCCCTCTGCCGCCGCACCTTCGGTCCGGCCGTGGTGGGGGCTGCTGAGGTGATCTCTAGCTGCCCGCCCGCCTCCCCCCACCCGGGGCGCCGCTGACTCGTCTCCAGAGCGCGCCCTGCTCCCGCCCCGGCCGCTGCCGCCGCGGTTTAACAGTCCGCCCGCTGCCCACAGCTCCGAGCAGCTCGGGGGATGGAACCCTGCCGCGGTCGGGAGGGGGGAGGGGGCGGGGCCTGGTGCCGGCCAATGGCAACGGGGGAGGGGCCGCGCCATGCAAATGAGAGCGGGTGGCGGGGAAACCCCGGCAGGGGGCGGGGCCTGCAGAAGCAGCTGCGAGCGTTCTGGAAGTGGCCGGAGCGCGACGCCCGAATCCTGCTGCAGAGGCGCCGCGGCTCCCTCGGGGCGGGTTCCGCGGCTCTCTCGCTTCCTCCTTCCTCTTTCCGCGTGCCAGCCTGAGTGGAGGGAACAAAAAACCAAAACACGGCCGGGCGACTTCCCGCCCCTGCTTTGCTATTTTTGTACCTCGGTGACAGGAAAAACAAAGCGCTGGGGAAAGTCAGGCTGCTTCCCGCCCTGCCGCCCGCGCTGGGGCCTCGGGGCTCCTAAAGTCCCGGTTGTCCCCCCTCCGGACGCCCGAGGGGCAGGTTTTGACAGAGCTTTGTCACAGTTGTCAAGTCTGTACGTCTCTGAACATTTGCGTTTATTTGGGCCGTGCGCTCAAATCCGGTCATAATTCTGTACCACCGCCGAGGGGCCCTGAGTAGGTAACAAATTTGCCTTGGATCCAGCTGGGTTGTTTTATGATAAAAAGTAGCTGCCAGACCGAGCACTTTAAAGTCTCTACGACACTGCTTTGAGTAGCGTCCGAGTTAACTCCGTCTGCAGTAGCGCTGTCAAATAAATAAACAGGGTTTTAAGTGGAAATAGTTGGCCGGGGACACATAATTTCTAAAGAGTGTTGCACCTGGCCCGGAGCTCCACTTACCACTAAACTACACCACGGCATTTCCTCAGCTACGCACTCATTTTTTAAAAAAAACTGAACTCTAAATATAGTTTCTTAAATGATGGATTACAGGCTTCCCTAAATACCTAATTTACACATAAAATGATTTAGGGGGTGAAGTGCACTAAGATTTTAGATCCAGAATGACATTTGCCATTATTTCAACCTTGCTAATTGGATAAGATCACGGAAGGTGGAGGGTTGGGGGTGGGGGAATCCAAGGAATTGGAGTTATAACAAAGCATAATCCATTACACAGATGACTGGAATTGGAAAATGAACTACTTGTTCCTGGTCCTTCTGGTAGATTGTGACATTATTCAAATAATTTTTATGACGAATTGCATTTGTAAAATAAAAAATTGTAAGCTAATGGTGTGTTGTGAAAACAATTAAATCAACAAGTATTTATTGGCTATTTACCATATTCAAAGGGCTGTCCTAGTCCCCGGGAACATAAATGCAAAAAACGAATAAAGTATTTTAAAAGTTGTTTAAAAAATTTACCAGTCTGACAAGTCAAATAAGCATGTGTTTAGATAGATGGAAGGAAGATTTTGGATTTAAGCTGGACGTTTTAAAACACTTTAGGCAGAGATATATACTTCCGGAGATAGTATCTTTAAGTGGCTTGAATTGAGGTTGTATGTATCATATTGGGGTAGAAAAGCACATTGTCAACTAGATTGAATAAATCTTTAATGACAGGAATTCAGATTTTAACCCGAGAGAATTGTAGAGCCATCAAATCATTTGATGGTACAGCATTCTCCTGTGAAATAATTATTAGTTACCAAAACAAAATATCCATGTATTTGCCAAATGTTACTGAACACATATTTTGTGCATATTTTGTGATGGGTAGTGGAGATACAGCAGTAAATAAAGTGCCTGCCCTCAGGAAGTTTATAGTGGATGACATAGACATTAAGCTTTGTAATAGCACAGCTAATAATTCATAAAGCAGTACTACATATATTATCTAATTTGTTCATCAAACTGTGGGAGATAAGCAGTTTCTAATACTCCAGGTGAATTGTGTCTTTTATCTTGTAGTCAGCCCTGCAGTCTGCCAAATTTTACAGTCCTTAAATAAATATTTCAATCTATTATGCCATCATACATGTAAATTTCTCTTCTTTTATATTCAGTTTATGATACTTTAAAAATAATAGGAATGGGGAGATGATTAACAAAATAATATGAGTTTGATGTAAAATACGTAGAAGAGCACAAAGAAGAACATCACAATCATCTGCATATTGGGTTTTTTGTTGTTTTTTTAATCCCATTTGGCCACATATTAAGCCCACTATCCCTTGACACTGAATACTGTTCTAAAGCATGATTTTTTTATATATTTGTAGCATATACATGCCAGTTTTCCAGATACTATAGAATATGAAAGTTCCTTATTACAAAAATTAACATACTGAACCATTTGTCACATTGTTTTCTGCATTACTGATTCAGCAAGAGCCTGAAAGTGCACGTAGTTAATTTTTTTAAAACTCAAGAATATATTTAATATTATTTTTGGAATGTACATTAAAAGCATTGTGATTTCCAAGAAAAAAAATATATAACAGTGGTAAGAATAGAACATTTAAAGATCCAGCAAGAACAAGAAGGAAAGGGCACCATTCTTGCTGACATAATTATTACCTGTCTGGAAGCATGCAAAAGTGTCCAGGTAAGCAGTATTACAATGATTGCATGAGATAAACGTCTCTCTTCAACACTGGTTTTTATTCAGTCACTTCTTTCATTCAGGAAACATTTATGCAGTATTTAATATACAGATGACACTGCGATAAATGCTAGAGATACAGGAGAAAGATCAATCCCTAGTGTCAAAGAACTGACAGCCACAAAGGGGTTACAAATACAGACTTTTCTATCCCACTTTCTTGGTCTATTTTTCTCCATAGCACTTATTTCCACCTAACATAACATAGATTTTTGCTTCTTCTACTTTTGTTATCTGTCTCTCTAAGCTAGGTGTCAGGCACTTTTGCTATTTTGCTCACTTCTGTATGCCCAGCGCCTAGCACAGGTCCTGGCACATGTAGGTTCTCAACACATAGTTTTTGAATGGATGAATTCCTTTAATTTTTACGTCCTGCAAAGTGAGTGTTATACTGATTTTCCAAGTGGAAAAAAATGAACCTCAGTGAGGTTAATGTACCCAGATTCTTACACTGATAAATGGCCAATCTTAGATTTGAAGACAGACCCACCTAACTGGCTCCAAAACCAGAGTTCTTTCCCCACTACCTCTCAGAATAGAAAGCTAGATTGGGAGCTTGTACTATTTATTCCTCTATATTTCTGTCATACTGTAGTATATTTAATTCTTTTTTTTATCGGGTTTAGAAAGTGAAATAGAAGCAGCAGGGCTACAGGTGACAATTCCTACTCAGGACAGATTTAACTTTAATTAACCAGTATCTATTGACAGACAAAGGGTAGGGGTTGATAGCAAGATTCTTATAATCTATAAGATTCTTAGAACCAGGGCTGTGTACTAGAGAGGACAGAACTGACCCATGACTGCAGGGGAATCAAAAATTATTCCCTATGCATATGAATATCCACAGCACCTTTATTCACAACAGTCCCAAACTGCAAACAATCCTAAGATCCATCACCTGTGAAAGAATAAATAAATTATGGGACATCTATATAATGTAATACTACTCAGAAATGAAGAGAAAAAAGCTACCGATATATAAAATAGCATGGATGAGACTCAAACAGTATGCTGAGTGAAAGAAGCCAGGCACAAAAGAGTAAATACTGTATGATTCCATGTATATAAAGCTCTAGAAAGACAAATCTAACCTATAATGGCAGAAAGCAGATCAGTGGTTGCTTAGGGCCTGGGTGGGGAGAATTGACAGGGATGGGTATAAAGGGTGATGAAAATGTTTTATATCTTGATCATGGTGGAAGTCAAATGGGTGCACGCATTTGTCAAAATCTACCAAAACATATACTTAAAACGAGTACATGTTATTATATGTAAATTATGCTTCAATAAAGTTTATTTTTAAAAAAAGAGCTCCTGGATGCAGGTGGACTCAGAAACTTTAAGGAGTTTTCAGTCCAAAATTTAGACAGGCAGAAAAATTTAAAACTAGTTTTAGTTAGGACGAAGATAGGCTGTGTGTAATATATCGGAAAAAGCAAAAACAGTAGCTTAAAAACACAAGAGTTAATCTTCTAACATGTATAATTGATTCTAAGACACATTTTTTCCCATAACTTATCATTTCTGAAGTCATAATGACTTCACGGTGCCTGCAATAAGAAAATAATGTATGAGTTTGATTGGCAGTGTTGTTTTTTTTTTTTTTCTGAATGATACATAAATATGCATCTTAAGAGTCAATGAAAAGCCCAGGCGTTCAAGTCATAGCAGTGAGCTATGAGGGCACCTCTGCATTGTAGCCTGGGTGACAGAGCAAGACCCCATCTCTAAAAAATTTTTAAAAAAGAAAAAAAGAGTCAATGCAATGCAGTAAGAGCAGTTTACAGGTAGATATCCCAGAACTGATACAACAGCTCCACAAAGTCCCCAGGGACCCAGGCTCCTTTCTGTTATTCTCTTCTGCCATTCTCAGCCCTGGCTTCCAGTCTCAAAGTAATCTCATGGTCCCAGATGGCTACTGGAACCCCAACCATCATTATCCACTTCCAGGCAGCTGGCAGGAAGAAAGGCAGAAGGCAAACAGGCCTCTAAGTTACCTCACCTGAAGTCCTTCTCAACAACTACAACTTCATCATGTGGATATATCTAGCTGCAAGGGAGACTAGAAAATACAACCAAAGCTGAATACATTGTCATCTCCAATAGTATATGGATTATTATTTACGAAGAAGGGGACAATAGATGTTGGTTAGGCAATAGTCTCTACCAGTTTCCAAATAAAAATGTCTAAAGAGAGTCAGCTAGATGTAGCAAGGTTTGGGTGGGAGTGGAGAGTTAAACAAAAAGACAGCTAAAAGAGATTTTTGGTAATACATTCCCTTTTTCAAGCTCTTTGGCTATGCCCATGAGTATTAAAAATGCTGAACATTAGGCCGGGCGCGGTGGCTCACGCCTGTAATCCTAGCTCTCTGGGAGGCCGAGGCGGGCG